TTATTTAGAATGATTTATTAATTAAAACAATTAAGAATGTAATTAACAAAATTGGACCGAGAAAATGGTGGTAAATATAATTGGTATATTCTTTAACAAAGATTTAAATAGTTTTCTTTTCGTTGGGTTTGCAATATTATTATTTTTACCACCTGTATATTTTGCACATATTATGTTGCTTTAAAAAAATTTAAAATGTCAATATTCCATGGGTATAGTGATAAATGAGGTCTGAATTATAAAAAAACGCATTTTCTACGAAAACTTGAAAAGATAGGTAAAAAATGATATAATACAGTTTGATAGACAATTAAATTGTACATCTGATTCACGTAAAATATACAAGGCGTTCTATTTAACTTAAACAAGTTATTGCCGTTTAAATCTAGAAATTATTTAACAGAAATTTTTGGACACTCTGTATAAGGTAGTATAATTTTGATTATTGCAACACAATATCTAATTAATAAATAATCTTCAGTAAATATTTAGTATTAAAAACTTTGATACCCTTCGAGAAATGGAGCCTTAATTTTTTTTACTGCAATTTCACAAAATTGAAAATATTTCAAAAACGGTAAACGCTTCTGTACAAATTAGATTGTGTCACCCATACAATTATGACCGCTCATACCGTTGCTTAACCTCGATGATTGATTACGTACGTTAAATAAAGAGTATATTTTTTATGATTTAATTACAAATGTGTAGTTTTCAGATTTTTAATTTTCTCTTTTTGTGTTCCTGTGGTCGAAATATACCACGCCCTGTATAAACGTTTATACCTAAACTATAATACCTTTCTATCACACCCTATAAGTTTAAACTTATCCAAACAAAAATCTATAACTTTACTAAACAAAAGGACCATTTAAATAACGACCTCATTAATCGAATCTCTATTAGAGTATTTTAATAACCAATCGCTCATTATCGCTAAATACGCCATTAAATATAAATAGTTATTGGTATTAAAATAATATGAGTCAAATCGCTACGTGAATATAAATAAATAAATTTCACACTAAACGTAATATAATTATGTTTAAACAAATACGTGCTATATAGTGCGAAATAATACTTGTATATATGGTTTTCCAGTGGCTGTTATCATAAATTGAACTATAAAATTGAATTAAAAAATTATTTTGGCAAAATATAACAGAAATACTGCGAATAAAAGAGGATTTAAATTTTTCTAATTTAGTATTATTAGAATTATTCTATTTAGATATTTTATATATCATTATATTTTTATCTGTTGACAGTTTATATGATTTAATTTTTTTATGTGTGATTTTATGTTTGGTAATAATAATTGTTATAACCCTATCACTTTTATATTTTTTCAGATTAAAAACGAGATTTGGCATGTTAGTATATGACATAAATTAGAATTGATTGAGGTATTCAATTGTTTTTGATCATTTCCAGTTTCACCGGAAATGACTACAACTTTTGATTTTTAAATGGCACCCTCTGTATATTTCTACTTTATTCGATAGAACATGACACTCTGAATAATTAAACCTGTAAACTGAACCACAACAAAAAGGTTGAAGCCAAAACAATCTAATTTGTATTAAAATTAAGAAAAAAAAACAGAATAACAACAAAAAATTTGTCAATTTCGAGTCGGACTCGCGCACGAAGGGTTCCGTACCATTCAATATCTATACAACATTAGACGCTATATTATTATAAACTTTTTTTCTGATTTAGATGAAATTTTGAATGCGCGTATAAGTAATTTAAAAAAAAATGAAGAAACACATTACTAAAAATTGTATTAATCAACAATAAATATGTAAAAAGTAAAAATAAAACGATTAAAAAAAAGTCGCCTTGACTAGGATTCGAACCTGCCTTACTACGGCTCCAACGTCATAACAGCGTAAAGTCCTAACCAAAGACATTATAAAGATAGACCGAACATCTCATTCATAAATACTCGTTGGTAGTGTATCAAACATTCCAATATATCAAACAAGGACAGAAGAGACAGAGAAGTCTAAAATTTCCGACCCCGGCAACTAGGAGCATTTCGATTGTTCTAATGGCCAGTGGCGTATCGTTTTTTGGAAAAATTTCAACTGTCTAGCTATAACGGTTCATAAGATAGACCTTTGTGATAGACGGATGGACGGACAGCGACGTCTTAGTAATAGGGTTCCCATTTTTACCCTTTGGGCACGGAACCCTAAAAACGTTTAAACCAACACTGCCGCGTCGCGCGTCGGCGGTATTGTTAGTGTATACAAAAAAATACCTTCTTCCGGCGGTATGATATTTCCATATCTGTAAATTCCGATGGAAAAATGAATTACTTATTAATCTGTCGTTGACGGCGGTATAATCTTAACCTAGTAGATAGTTGTTACCATAGACTTAAAATAAAATATAGACTACACTATTTACATCTCAACGCGGACAAACAACCTTTTTTGTACACATGTTTACTTCTGGGTACTGTCGACCGAGCCTTCCTCATCCAGCCTATGTTGTCACGTCTTTAATATTATCAATATTTTTTTTTTTTGTTATACACATATATTGAGATATTAATACTACAGTTTAATAAAGTAGGTTTTAATATTCCATAGATGTATTAAATAGTCCTTATACTACTAAATTATAAGTCGGATACTGTTTAATAAGGATAAGTTCTTTACAATATGACAACACCGATTAGAGGCGAGGGAGCCTATTCATTCATTTATTACCTTGTAGTAGGTGTCGCACGTGTGCGGTAAAGCTTTGTTGCCGCTATCTCTCCGGCTGTATTAACGCATTTTCTTAGCTTGTAGTCCTTAAGTGTTTATTTTATTGACATTTTCTGTTCAAAAACTATAAAATATGGTTCGCCAGTGCCAAATTTGCAAGAAATTTGACTTAAATAATCCATTTAAGTCTTGAAACGACTTTTGACCGATAGGCAACTCTCAATTTACCCATTGGCAGTCAGTGGCGTTGTTGTAGAAAGGCGCTTATTTAGATAATATTTTAGTAAAATGTAAAATCTGAATTTTTTTTTTACATTACATTATTTACTTACTTACATTGTAACAAAATCATAATTATAACCCTGTTAATAATTAATAATGTTTTTATTAAAAATATATTCCGGTTTATTCTAAAATTATCTTCAGAATCTAAAATAACGTACAAGAATTTTAAAATTATATTACCTTATGAAACAATATTTTTACCGTTGTCGTCCTCAAAAGTGGCTCACCCATATAACTTTTTTATCCTTTTCAGATAAAAAACAGATTTGTATGTTAGTAGGTATATGACATAAATTAGGATTTATTGACGTATTCAATTGTTTTTGGTCTCTTCCTGTTTTACCGAAATGATTACATCTTTTGATTTTAAAGGCACCCTCGGTATATTGCTACTTTATTCGATAAAAATGACACTCAGAATAGAATGACATATCATTTGTCAACTTTTGACATTGTCGTTTAAAAACATATCCTATTTTAAATTTCAATCCAGTTTTTTTCAATCCACTAAGTTTTAATCAAGGAGCCCTGGAAAAATAGTTTTGATCGTCTAATAGGTTTTCGTGTCTTGTCTAGGCCGGTTAAAAGATGTACAAATCGTATTTTTTAATCATACATATGTCAATTTTTTCAAATGGAACAAGGGTGACTCATTAGCATATTTTGAAAAAGCATTTTTTATGAATATATTGATACCACACACTTGGTATTTCGAGTCAAATTGTCGTTATGAACCGCGTGTTAGAATTACAATTAAACCATATGCGAAAATGTTAAAAGTTGACATATGATATGTCATTCTATTCAGAGTGTCATTTTCTATCGAATAAAGTAGAAATATATCGAGGGTGCCGTTTAAAAATTAAAAGTTATAGTCATTTCCGGTGAAACAGGAAGTGAAAAAAAACAATAGTGAATACGTCAATCAATCTAATTTATTTCATATACTAACACACTAAATCTTGTTTTTTATTTGAAAATATAAAAAAATTATGGGGATGAGCCACTTTTGAGACGCACCTGGTATAATAAAGACAGTACCGAGTTAAATAAATGTAGTTTTATTTTATCCACTTCCTATCACCTTCCTTGCTTTAATGGAACAGATTTATGTTTTTTCTAATTTACATAATACGACATCACTTAACCAGAAAAAAAATTACAACAATCATATTTTTTTTCTCTCCCTGTCGTCGATTCTATTATATCTGTGGAATAGATCCTGTTTTGATTAATATTAGGGGTTGTAAATGTTTGACTAAAATTAATAATTTATTATTAATTTCAAAAATTACCAATTTGATTATAAAATTTCTTCTACAACGTGTATTTTATTATTTTTATCCTTTTGGACTCTTTTTGTTGGAATTGTTTTTCTAAACTTTTATTTAAAAAAACCTGTCCTAAATCTTAATAAAATATAAAAAGTTTAAATACGATATATTTTTAATTTAATTATAGCTTCATTAAAATAAAAAAATTACCCGGCTATGATACGGAGAGTTCAGGTGTACTTGAGAAACGAAAGACAGTGTTGTGTTTCTCGGCAGAGTCGTCAGGGAACGACCGTTACGACAGTCTATCGCTCGTGTCGCACTCGTTATAACCTAAAACAATAACACAACAATAACAAGACAGTGTCTGACCGCATGTTCCAGCTATTTATGAATGAGATGCTCAGTCTATATTTTATTTTAAGTCTATGGTTGTTACCGTTCAACGTCGGTACCGTCGGTTACCGTTCAACGTCCGTATACTTTAATTTAGTCATCAACGCGCGTTGGGAGTAAAGATTCAACGCCGTGACACACGAGCTAGCGTCAGGAAAAGTGGTAATGGCAGTGTTGCCACAGCTACCATTCCGGCTACCCATTCGGGCTAGATCTACACTTTGTAAAACAATTTAATTCGCTCTGTAACTCGGAACACCTTGTATCTAACAAAGGTATGTTACAGGAATTAATCGACGATGTCTGATAATAGTTAACTCACCTCGTCTTTGACAGATAGGTTGGCAGGGGCTCCTGGAGCGTGCATGGGCATGGGAGCCCCCGAGGGGCCCAACATTTCACCGTTGTCCTCCTCCACGCTGCCTTCCGCCATGTCAGCCTCGCATCCTGATTCGTCTGCAAACAACACACAAATTTATTACAAGAATTAAGAAGACTTCATAATAATGCTATACATAGGGTTTTTCGCAACAATACATTTATTAGAAGTTTTTTTTTTGAATTTAACGAAATATGTTTATTAACACTTAGACCTTCTTACGGATGACACTCGCTAAAAGCACAGATTATACAGATTATAAACTTTGTTTTTTCTTTATTGTTTTTCGTGGTTCCAATTTTCGGAAGCGGGCACTAGTTAGGTTATTAGTTTGCGCACATAGCACGCCCAGTTATGGCCTCTAAAATTGTGCACAGCGCCTGACCGGCACAGTTATTAGAGAGATATCGGAAAACCGAATAGCGTCATGCAGTATTTACGCGTACATTATCATGGTTACGATATGCGCGAGTCAATTTTTAACGCAACGCCCGCTAATAACGTTACCGCCTGACGTAATTTGCGGATCAATTACACCAAGCGCTATTTCTAAATAATGTTTAAAAATTGCTTAAATGAGCATGTGCGGGTATTTGACAAAAATATTTTAGGTTATGTTTGAATTATTACTTTAGTTTTATTAGATAATTTGATATTTAAGTAGATGGGATTAGTTTTAATTAAATAAATGTGGCCCAAAATATGGATTCCACCTCTTCCAATATTAAAGAACCTATAAAGAGGCTTAGGTTTACAGCAGATGACGACTTAGCCCTTCTAAGAGAATTTATTGCTTGTTTTCCTAAACACACTGCTGGCAGACGTTGAACAATAAAGCACTGGAAGTAAGCACTTTAGCCCTTTAGTTTTAAAATACCTAGTAAACAAAACAATTTCAAAGTTTTAAATTCAAGATTAGGTTAAGTTTAAATAGCGAACGCGACGCGAACAGAATTCTTTCCGATCCGATAATTATAAATGAAGAGAGTTAATACCACCTCACGTAAAGGAAATAACACCTGGCCTTATTAACGTCCATGCACGCTATTCGCTTTAGCGATATCTCTCTATTACGCTGTTTATTGTTATTTTACGCGAGTATATTTTTGCGCACAGGAAATTTTACTCGTTTGCACATCGTCATAAAAAACAATTTTCGTACCACGAATTAGGGACAAGATTTTTCTCTGTATACTTATAGGATACCTAATCTGTGCTAAAAGTTTGTTAACATCTATTTAGTGCTTAATGGTATATTTCTATTGATATTTTCTTTATTAAAAATCTCCATATTAATTTTCTCAGTATCACCAACGATACGGGTCCCATAAATCAGTATAGTAATTAAATATTCAACTTGCTGTAAGTAGCTTGTTGCGATAAATTGCATTATTAAGGCTAGATTGAACACGTCGTTCATCGCGAATTTGTAATGATACTTTTTTTCAATTGACATCAACACTATATCAGCCTGGTTTTAATTAAAAGTCAAGTTTTCTTATTGCTTACCGTTACATAGTTTATTGGATTAGTTATATAGGGTGGTGACAATTTCGATGCTCAACATTGGCATCTCAGAAACTACAAGAGATGGGAATTCGGTTAAATGGGACAAAAGTTACGTAATTAGAAGTCTCTGACAAACACCTATGAAGAAAACCCCGGTATCTTGATTAGTTTCGGATTTAAGCCAAAAAAAATGAAAATAATACGGTTATTTTAAATAACATTATCTTCAGAACTATTGTATGTATTGCAACTGTATTGCAAATGGTAATTTATATTAAATGCCGTTTTCAGAAAATTTCTAAACCTTCTAAATTTCGCACAACAATAGTCAAGTTTTTGTTTTCTTATGGCCGCCATTTTGAATTTTTATCCTATTAGATAGAGCAAAAAATAATATATACGGTGGTATCTAATTTTTATTCATTATTAAGTAGATTCACTAAAAAAAAATAGATTTTTTAAAAATTCGCTCAAAAGATCAAGTTTGCTTTGGAAATCCAATTGACACTTTATATGACAGCATAGGAGGTCAAAAATATAAAACTACCAACTTACGTTGCAATACATACAATAGTTCTGAAGATATTGTCATTTAAAATATACGTATTATTTTAAATTTTTTGAGATAAATCCGAAACTAGCCAGGATACCGGGCTTTTCTTCATAGTTGTCAAACATCTAATTATAATTAGATAATATAACTTTTGTCCCATTTAACCGAATTCGTATCTCGTAGTTTCTGAGATGCCAATGTTGAGCATCGAAATTGTCACAACCCTGTATAGTGGAAGTATCGAAAAGCTTATAACAATATGCAATTCATATTAACGCTAAATAAGATAAAAGGAGATAAAAAATATACGTTAATTTGATAACATCACCTTGTAGAACAAAAGAAATAGCAATGAGAATGGAAAAAGAGAAAGAAAGTCATAAAAAATTTTAAAAAAAACTAAATCGCTATTTTTCTTTTTTTTTCAAAAATCTTCGGTATTATTTAACTTTGAAGACACCCTGTACACTACCCTGTATACAGTGCTTTCCTCATTCCTTACATTCTACAACGACTTTTTTATTTCCACCCAATATAATACCAATTAAAACAACGTCACTCCTACCTAACCCGTTCCAAAAATAAAACAACCCTTGCGCCCGTACAACCCCACGCGCCCCTACAAATTTCCTAATTAAAAATCTGCCGTCCGTGCGCGCCGTCCCCTCCCTTTTCATTCGATCCCATTCACAGCCGCCCGCCGCCGCTTCTTTTATGATTTAATCGCCCTCGTAAAGTCTTGCGCGTCGCACCACCGCCGAAACAATCGAAAATCGTGCGTGATCGAAACAAAAGAAAATCAAATAGAAAACAACGAAAAAAATGCGACGCGAATGCGAAAGCGTTGGGTCGGTCCTCTTGACGTAACAAGGAAGGGAGGGTGGGGGTGAGAGGAGGAACTGACAACTGATTAGGGGTGGAATAAGAAGGGGTTGTGTAGGGTGGTGATTGCGTTAGGTATTGTGCTGGAAGTCTGGTCTGGCTCTGTTTGCTTGATTATAGTTCATTACAGGCCAGTTCGTATTGTGTTCTGATTTTTTTTGTTTTATTATATGGCCATGATCATTGGTTAAGCCAGATTGACATGGTTCAGGTGTACTTGGATAGTAAATTGGGCCAAGTAACACAAGTAGCATTTTTAGACACAAAATCGAAACAAATTTTTGATACATATGTTTCATAGCACAAATCGCTTTTTGTTTCGAAACATTTTACCAAAATATGGTTTCGCTACATAAGCTAAAACAATGATGATCTTTGTGTCACAATTTTTTCGAAACTTTTAAGAAACAGATGTGGCTCACGTTACAGATTTCGAACCCGTTTTGTACCTGAAAAGTTTCCATAATTTATTTGATATTCTGTCATATATGAGAACATAACCTTACTTTATTGTTTAGATTTTGTTCTGCAGTTTTTACTTTTAAGCATTCTTCAAGTTTTTAGAGGGCTATAATTAAAAAAGCCGAAGGAAGGACATATGGTGAGTACATATGCAGATATTTTTCTCATGCGATTTTATAATAATTTATTGCACGCATTACAGAGATGATTTGTTTTAGCAGTAAATGTAATAACAGCCACCACCCATACCCAAAAGGAGAGCGAAGAAAAATGTTACCAGCAAACGGTTTTTTTCTCTTTTTTCCACAATGGACTACATGTTTTTAAGTTTTAATTGTGTTTGGTTTGGTTTGGGGATATATATAATATAATAATAAGTAAATAAAAATGTTTTAATTATTTTGACCAGAAGTTTTCATTGGCGTTGTTGACAGGTGACTAGCTCCAAATTTCTACACAGATAGCGCTAAGTAGAAACATTTTGGAAAAAAGGTTTGCATTTATTGTCGATTGATTTTCGAAAAACAAGTTTCTCTCTTTTTAGACACAATTATGATATAATGTAGATGATTTGTGTCCGACTACATGCTCCATGCCTATTTTATGAAATAATGAATTATAATTCCGCCGTGTTGGCTAGTGTCTTGTTTTTATCGGCTGTTGAGCTTTTAAACTCATAAGAACGCGTTCCACTTACATTAATTCATATATTTTTATTTTCAGAGGCATGATATAGAAATAAAAATAAAAATCTATATTTGAAACAAAAATATTTTGTAGCAACAAATAATGATATACTATAGAAGGGGCTAATATATAATGATACTAGCGTGTACCAGCGACTTCGTTCGCGTCAAATTAATCATTTGTAATGGTGATAATAAAGCAAAGCAAAAATTTCCATTAACATACAAACTGGATAAAATTTTCTCACATTTATGTCAGCATGAGAAAAAACAATATGGCGATATTATTATATAACTTGGTAATATTTGAGGGGTAGTTTCATCTCGTTGGAATTTGACTTTCGAAAAATCCGTTTGCCAAAAATAAGCTTTTTACGTCAAGCAGTTTAAGCAGAATCGTGGTTAAGAAATTACCCAACTTTTTGAAACACCCTTTATGATTTTTAAAAAATTTCATACAAAAACAAATAAATTATGCTTGTCCAAGCGTTTTCCCGAAAGACTAACCGTTTTTTATATAACAAATATTGTAATATTTGAGGGGCGTTTTCACCCTCTTGGAATTTGAGATTCGAGAAACCCCTCCTGATCGAACCTCTATACCCCGCAGTCAATCCGTTTGCCAAAAATCAGCTTTAAACGTCAAGCAGTTTAAGCAGAATCGTGAATCGTGATTCCTCAAACACCCTGTATGAATTTAGAAAAAATCTTAAAATATGTAAAACAACAAAATAAAATATACGTGTTTAAGAGTTTTCCCGAAAAACTCACCGGTTTTTAAATAAAAAATATTGTAATATTTGAGGGGTGGTTTCACCCTCTTGGAACTGGAATTTCGAAAAATCCTTTCTTATCGAACCTCTACACCCTAGAATCAACCTGTATGCCAAAAGGAGCTTCTTACGTTGAGTGGTTTGAGCAGGATCGTGATTAATCAGTATGTCAGTCACTTAAGGATTATATTAGAGGTTTCAAAACAAATGCA